TGCCCATAGGTTCCCATATTTTCTGGCGAATCGACGATTAGTTGTGTTTGTGTGTTTCTTCTCCTCCTGAACAACTTCGGGGCCCAAACAACAAAGCGCGCGGTGACGGACCGCGTGGCGACCTCGGAGTCCCCCAACGGCCTCACGGCGCGGTCTGTCACCGCACGGGTGTGGGGCCATGGAGGCTCCAGTCGCCCGAGGCGTGCTCGGAGAACGACCGAGTCCCAAAACCGCGCGGTGACTTTGGGTCCCCACTGACTCACCACGCGGTGCGGTCACTGTCCCGTCTTGGAGCCCCTGAACAGGAAGAGGACATAACCAACTCAGACGCCAGCCGAGGCCTCCGACTCCAACCAGCAAGGGCCCTCTGGGAGACGCCGAGACCTCCAGGAACGCTCCTGGGGCGCTTCCGCAGGAGCCCAGCGCATAAGACAAAAATAGAAAAAGTTTGCGGGAACGCTTCGGCCAGGTGAACGATTTCGGAAACCATGAACCCAAAAACGTCGTCATCTCTAGGGGCGAATGTTTCACTTCCGCCACCGTCTGCCGCCCTTCCGCCGGTTTCCGCCGACGGAAGGGCGGCCTCGTTTTACTTCCGCCGACCTTCCGCCGCCCTTCCGCCGCCTTCAGCGGCAGAAGGGATGACAACTCCTTCGATCCTCGAAGGCAAGGCCCTTTTTTTGAACGCCCACGGTAGGGAAACCAAGAGGCGGTGGCAAGAAACCAGAAGCCATGGGCACAAGGACCTCGCAAGCTGTGTCCTGGCTGCGTGACCGGAGCTCGGGCTCGCCGAGCCCGAGAGGCAGGCTGCGCTGGCCGGCGATGGAGGGAGAGAAAGGGCGAGATGAGAGAAGCAGGCAAACGACTGGCGTGAAGTGACTTACACTGGAGGCCAGTCCACAAGAAACCTTCCACAAGAAACCCAACCCTGAGACCCCAGGACGTCCATTGATTTTTGGTGTGGGAACGTCGCGCTTTCCACAGCAAAACCATCGAAACCCAAGAAACCCAGGGCACCCTGGAGGCAAGCAGGGTGTCCCTTGGCATGGGGTCTCCACTGTAATCACTTCGCGCGCCAGAGCTCCCACCTCCGGGAACGGTGCTTCCTCGCGCGTCGCTTCGGGAAGGTCCCGGGGCCTCCAGGGACGGCAAGGCCGAAACCGAGACTGCTCAAATCCGGCCACCGAGGCCCGTGACCTCTCCTCGGCATGGGGGAGAGGAGTCCTGGAGGGCACAGGTCCTGGGCCCGTGGTCCACCCACCGGACCAGCGTTTCTCCTGCGTCCTGTTTTGACAGTCCCGAGGCCCGGCGGGGGCCCCAGAAGGCCGAAAACTGCGAAAAGACAGTGGACCCCTTCCCTCACGAGCGACCATCAAAACGTGTCCACAATCCATGCCTGTACAACCACCCTCCGGGTGATGAGGAGTTTGTGAGGGGGGAAACAAACTGATGACAACTGCGATGATTGTTATGGTGTCGATATTGGTGATGCGCTCGCGAGCTGGTGACGATGCATAATGACGATGCTGGCGACGATGCATGATGGCGATTGTAAAGGTGACGGTGCATGGCGACGAGGCTGGTGATGAGCGGGGCATCGCAAACGGGATACAATCGGAACACTATCAGGAATCGGGACACCACCGGGAGGAGCACCTGAAAACACTGCGGGAGCAATCAACGACACAATCGGAGCACCATGGGGATACCATGTGGACACAATCGGGACACCATGTGGACACCATCGGGACACAATCTGGACACCGCCATGGTAATATGTTGATAGATCTCACTACTAGTCTCACCATAGGTCACTCTATCAAAATACCAGTCTGGGTATCAATTGATCCCATTGTCCATCTCACAATCGATCCCAATATCTATATATCGATCTCACTATCGACCGGTCTCACTACCCATCAATCGCATTATCTAGTGGTCGATCGATCTCACGGGACAACCATCGGGACAATCATCGGGGCACTGTCGGGACACCATCAGGACACCAACTGGAAACCATCGGGACACAATCGGGGCACCATGTGTACACCATCGGGACACCATCGGGGCACCATCGAGACACCATCGGGACAACATCGGAACAGCATGGGGACACCATCGGAACACCATCGGGACACAATTGGGACACCATCTGGAAACCATGTGGACACCATCGGGACACCATCGGGACACCATGGGAACACCATCGGGGCACAATCGGGACACCCTCGTGACGCCATGTGCGCACGCATCGGGGCACCATCGGCACACCATCGGCACACCATCGGGACACCATCGGAACACCATCGGAACACCATCGGAATTCCATCGAGACACCATCGTAATGCCATCTGGACAACATCGAAACGCCGTCGGAGCACCACAGGAACACAATCGGAGGGGCCAGTATCATTTGACCCGATGTCGCCCTACCCACAGCGGGTTCAGTCCGCTCGCCCGCCCACGCAACTTCGCCACGCCCGCACGCACAACACGAACACAAAACCGAAACCGATTTCCTGGTGGGGGGTGGTACGTGTTGCTTCGATCTCAGCCACCAGCCTCTGATCGATCGTGTTGTCGGTCTCAATACCTGTCTCGCTGTCGGTTCCGCTATCGATCTCACTGTCCATCTCACAAGCGACATCACGATCCGCTGATCGATCTCGATATCGGCATCACTATCGATCGATCGAGCTTACGATCGACTATTATATCCCACGATCGGTATGAAAATCGAATTATCGATCTCACTATTGATCTAACCACCGGTCCCTCTGTCAACACATCAGTATCTGTATCAGTCGGTATCACTAACCATCTCACAACCCATACATATGTTAATGTACGTATGCATGTCTATATTCATATAGGTAAATACATCTAGATGTCGATATATAGATAAAAGATCTGTGTATAAATACACGAGCATACACATGTCTCTCGATCGATAGACTTAGATGTATGTGTATGTATGCATGTGTGCATGTATACATATTTATAGGTCGATCGATTTCACTATCGACTGGTCTCACGATCCATCGATCTCACGATCTATCTATCTATCGATCTCACGGGACACCATGTGGACACCATCGGTGCACCATCGGGACACCATGGGGGCACCATCGGGGCACCATCGTGACACCAGTTGGACACCATCGGGACACCGTCGGGACACCATCGGAACACCATTCGGACACTGTCGAGATACCATCGGGGCACCATCGGGACACTACCGGGACACCATCGGGACACCGCCGCGCCACCGCTGGCCAACCAGGGGGAGGACACCGCATCGTTTGGCTGGGTTTCTCCCTAGCAACGGGACACCATAGGGTTAGGTCGGGCATGTCCTCCTACAGGCGGATCTGCGAGGAAAATCAACAGCATTGCAGAACACACTTCAGAATAGTCCATAAGTAATCGAAAACATCGTCCCCTGACTATTTTTTACTGCTTTGAATATTCCTCCTGTAGAAGTGCATGCCCGATTTAACCATAGGGACACTATCAGGACACCCACGGGGCCACCGCTGGCCAACCAGGGGGGGCCACCGCTGGCCAACGAGGCCCAGCTTCGCCCTATAGCAAGGGCGGGTGCACTCCTCTCGCTCGCGCACGCAGCCTCACCTCGCCTCGCACGACACAAACACGAAACCGAAACCGAAACCGAGTCTCCTTGTGCTCCTTCTCCTCCTCCTCCTCCTTCTCCTCCTCCTCCTCCTCCTCCTCCTCCTCCGCTTTCTCCTTCTCCTCCTCCCCCTCCTCCTCCTCCTCCTCCTCCTCCTCCTCCTCCTCCTTCTCCTCCTCCTCCTCCTCCTCCTCCTCCTCCTCCTCCTCTTTGTAGTTAAGGACCACATCCCAGAAATAATTTCGAGCACCCAGCAAAGAGTGTCGAAACAGTGCCGAACGAGTATCGCCTCTCAGGGCCCGACACGCGAAAACCCACAAGTTTCGGTACTCTCTTGCTGCTCGAAACTCTTTCTGGTGATCCAGGCTGGTGGGCGTTGTTTTATTCGGCGTTTCGGCGTTTGGCGGAAGGGGATCCAGACCTCTGCTTAGTGCGACTGTTTGCGAAGGTGCGTCCTATGGGGGGAGGCTCCACTTGCTCGAAACAGGCGCCAAAAAACAGCCAAGATCTACTCCATGGGGGGGGAGGGGGGGAGGGGGGCCTGCGCCGATCGGCAAAACAACGAATCAAAAAACGATCACCTAAAGTAGGTTGGATCGTCCTAATTCTCGAGCCGGATCGATCCATGAGGGCCCCGGGGCCCGACAATCGGTCGACAGCACCAGGCTCGAGACAGCTGCGACGCCAGGATCCCAGGGCTCGAGAAACCAGCTCCGGAGCTCCTGCCCCCCGGGGGGGCCCCTGCCCTGGAGATGGCCACCTCCTCGCGCCTGGGCTTCGCGGGGGGGGGGAGGGAGGCGACCCATCGGCCCCCCTGGGGCGAGGGAAGCGGCTCGGTGGCGGGCGCTTCCCGGCCAGACCGCCCAGGTGCCGATGTGCTGCAGGCTGCGTGTGCTGAGCTGTGTGCTCGGCTCGGTCGCGCGCCTCCCTTGGGGGGCGCGTAGCACTAGGAAGGCCAAGCTGCTGCCGCAAGGAACGCCGAGTGAGGAAGGGAACCCCTTTCTGGCCCCAAGAGCGCCTGCGTGGACGATGAGCGCCGGAGGAACAGCCGCGGATGGACTTAAGGAACATCGAGCCCCTTCTGACCCCAAACTGCTCCTTATTTCAGCGTCTTGGCTGTGTGTCTCTCTGCGTCCCAGCCCCGGCCTTCGAGAAGAAAAACGGCACAAGCATAAAACTTTTGGAGGTCCGCGCGGATCTCTTGGATCCGCGCTGGACCCCCCTTCCCTTGTGCGCTCCGCGCGCCCAGGGGCGTCGCCAGAAGCGCCGCCTGGTAGGGGCGAGCGCCGATCCAAGAAATCCGCGCGGACCGCCAAAAAAGTGTATGCTCATGCAGTCTTGTGTGCTTCTGCGTCCCAGCCCCGGCCTGCGCGGCCTCCTGCGCCGTTGCCGCCGGCGCCTGCTCCGCTGGCGCCGGCCTGGCCGCGGCAGCGGCCAAACCTTCAGGCCGCGGCACGTCGCCTGGGACTACGGCAGCTGCACACCAGCACCGATCTCTGGGCTGCGGCCGGCCCCCAAGAGACCGGAGGAGCCGCCCGAGGCATGCGAGCACCCCTGCTGCGGTCGGAGGGCCCCCTGGCAAGCACGCGCCCGAAGAAGGAACCGAAATGGGACGAGAGATATCAGGGGATATGTCGACCCCTATTCCAGGCTTCACGGGTTTTTCGAATGGACCAGAAAGTGGGGGCCCAGGCCTGGGACATACCATGGGGGGCGATAGCCCCCCAGGGGGGGGCATTCCAGAGTTTTATCACGGGGCTCAACCTGAATAATGTTTTCTGTTCACGTTTCGTTCTCGTTTTAAAACGAAGTTTGAGCGAAAACGCCGGCCAGCGTCGCGCGGGCCGTTCTGGAACAAAACAGCGGCCCCCGAGCAGCCGAAAACGAACGCATAACAGAACAGAACAGCCGAGAACCGCTCAGAGAGAAAGTGATAAAATGTATTAATTTCTCTCTGAGCGGCCAAACTTTTCGGGCGCAGCTCGGGGACTGGGGGAGAGAAATCGCCCGCGGAGGGTCTCGAGACAGCGCTCGGGGCGGCCTGGCAAACGCCGCCAGGCTCGGGGGCCGCCGCCGAGGGGGGGAAAACCGGGGAAGGGGGGCCGGCTCAGGGGGCGAGGGGCCTATGGCCAGCACTGGCCATCGCTCGGACGTCCATTCCCTGTGTTTTTTTCGGTTTCGTTCGTGGTTTTTCGCCAAATGATCAAGGATGCTCCTCAATGGTCCTCGCCGAGGAAAAAACGCACAAGTCCGAGCGATGCCAAGAGCATGGGCAGCACCTTGCCGATAGATCCGCGGTAGGCCCGCGAGCGCGGATCCGCAGGCTCCCGGGCGGGAACGGGCGGATATCCGCACACTCCCGGCCAGGAAGGGGCGAGTCGACGGTCGATGCACCACTGACCCGGCCCCCACCTGACGTGTCCTCCCTGGCTTCCGGGCCATAGATCCTCTCACCGGCGGCCGTGCGGGAGGATTCGGGCACCCCCTATGACGCCCTCAGCGAGGCGCAGCTGCCGGAGAGCGTCGCGAGGCGGAAAAGCCGCCGAGGTCCAACGACAACGCCCGAACGCCTTGCAAACCCGCAAACGTGCACCCCCTGAGCCTATCCCCCCCGAACGCTGCCCCTGACGGGTGGTCCTTGCCCCCTGCAGCCCTGAGCCCAGGATCGGTGCGCACGCCCTCCTCCGGCCCATTGCTGGGACGGCGCCATGGCACTGGCCCTTCGGCCCATGATGGGCCCAGCCAGGACTGGCGTTGTTATGAGGACGATCCTGCAGGCCTCGCGCGGCGACCTGAGACCCAATGTACGTCGGATCCACGTCGGAATGACGTCGGCTTCACATCGGATTGACGTCGGATTCACGTCAGAGGCACTCCGGACTGACGTCGGAGCATGGCCGCGCGAGCGTCGACCCAGATCCTCAGGAGCGGACGCGTGAACCAGACGACGCCACTCTCGCGCGCCTCGCAGGGCCTCCTGGATCCTCCTCCTAGGCGTCGGTGTTCAGTTGGCGTGGCCCGGTCGCCACCCTCCTGCGGCTGCGCCGCCTCCACCACCGGCCACGGCTCCTTCGGCGGGGACGCCGGCTGGCCTGGCACGGCTGGCCCTGACGCCCGGGCGTCGCGGGGACAGCAGCAGCGCCTGGCTTCTCGGTGGCCCCAGCTTCGGGCCCCCCAGGGCCCTCGGGGATCGACCTGGCTCTCCCACGCGCGAGTGGGGTCGGGAGCGCTGGTCGTGGTTTTCGGTGGCGTCGTGGTTTCCACCACGACGTCGGAACTCGGAGGACGGTGGTGCCATTTGGCGGCGCTGAACTCGGGCTGCGGCACTGTAGGGAACACATTCTCCGCATTCCGCGTCTGCCCATGCCTGCTCCTGCTACTGCTGGTAGCAGCGCTGCCACCACTGACTACTGATACTGGTGCTCATGTGCCTCCTCCTCCTCCTCCTCCTCCTCCTCCTCCTCCTCCTCCTTGTTCTCCTCCTCCTCCTCCTCCTCCCCCCTCCTCCTCCTCCTCCTCCTTGTTCTCCTCCTCCTCCTCCTCCTCCTCCTCCTCCTCCTCTCCTCCTCCTCCTCCTCCTCCTCCTCCTCCCCCCCCTCCCTCCTCCTCCTCCTCCCTCCTCCTCTCCCCTCCTCCTCCTCCTCCTCCTCCTCCTCCTCCTCCTCCTCCTCCTCCTCCTCCTCCTCCTCCTCCTCCTTCCCCTCCTCTCCCTCCACGTCATGCGCATCCTCCAAGTCCCTCTCCAAATCCGTATATGTCATACTCCTCGTGCTCTTCCTCTCCTCCACTCCTCTCTCTTACTCCCACTCCCCCTTCTCCTGCCCCGACTCCTTATCCTGAATCCCTCCTCCTCCTCCCCCACCCCCAGCGTCCTCACCTAGCCCGCTCACCCTCGTATCGACTCCACACCCAATCGCGCTCGAGAACGTCCCTATGCGGGGGGGCACTCAGACTGGACTGCAACACGCCACACCCACACCACTCTCATTCCTTCCGTCTCCTCAAACTCCTCTATCGTTATTTTACTCATCTCCCCAGAGGCCTCGACGATGACTACATCAACGACAACGATGACGATGACGACGAGTTCGCTGACGACGACAACGACGATTAAGACGGCGACGATTACGCAGACGACCACAACAACACCATCGACGACGACCATCTCGCGAACATGTGATCTAAGGAGCTGGCGTGACCTTCATTTACAAATCCCTCTCCCACATATCCGCCATAGTAAGTACTTGCACCAACCTTGTACGATGCAAGTATCCCGCTCTCTTAAGTCTATGCGCCAACCCCTGTGAGATGCAAGCATTAGGTTGTTAGGAGAAGTGCTCAAGGAAAATGATTCGGCAAAGCGCCCCCATTCGAGCTAACGTGCCCGCGGGCAAATCTGTACACACATATTGCAGGAAGCCAACACGATCTATGGAATCCTGCGCTTCGTCATAGGTGAGAACGAACAACCTAGAAACGCTGAGGGGATCCGCGGAAAGATGCCCGTAAGGTTCTGCGCCAGGCTACTGCGAGCACGAGCTCTGGAGGATCAAGCGCTCCCAGCGAATGCAGCACGAGCCCTGAAGGGTTCAGCGCTACTGCACGAGCCCTAGGCCGTTCTGCACCACAGTTTCACGTCGGCCCCGCGACCCCACCCCAGGGGAAAAGAAACATGCGATAGCTCCAAGCACAGCAAGATAGAATATAAACATGGCGGCCCCAAGGGAATCCGCGACACGAGCCCCGTTGCTGCTCTGAGTGGCCCCGCATTATATGCCCTTCATGGCCCCCGCTCGCAATCGCCCGTCGTGGCCCATACGCGGGTGTTTCGTCGCCCCGCTGTCGCCCTTCGTGGCCCCCTCGCTGCCCTTCGCGGCCCCTTTGCTGCCCTCCAGGCGACTGCGAGAACGACATCCGGAGGATTCGGCGCTCCCAGCCGATGTGGCACGAGCTCCCGAGGGCTCAGCGCTACCAGCGCGAGCCTCGGGAGCTAGTGCGCCACGGGCACGGGGGGCGTCCGAGAAGACTCTCTGTGAGCTGATTCGGCGCCCCGGGCGCCATGCCTGAATCAGAGGACGGATCTGGCCAAAGCGTCTCCGAATTAAGCTCGCGAGGACGTATCGAGCTAGAGCCGTTGTCGTTGCACCTGGGCCTTCACCAACCCGAGTGAAGTGCGAGGAAGTCTCGGACGAGGGCGCCATTTTTGAGTGCAAGAACGCATCTGTTGCGAGGGAGTATCGAGCGGGAGCCGTTGTCGTCGCAGCTTGGCCATCACTAACCCAAGTGGATTGTAAAGAAGTCTCGGGCGAGAGCACACTTCGTGAGTGCGAGAACGCGCATGACCCAGTGATACTTCCTCGCATTTTTACTCACAGGGAGTAAATTGCGAGAGAATGTCCATGAAAGCCGTTGTGTCTCGGGCGAGAGCGCCATTCCTGAATTTTGGGGCCTCTCTGGCCAGGGCGCCTCGGAGTAAACTGCGAGTAAGCCGTGAGCGGGCGCCACTGTCAGTGCAGCTGGGCTTTCCAGGGCCAGGATCTGGAGTGAAGCCCGCGTCTCGAGCGGGAGCCTCGCTTTCAGAGAGAATGCAGCTGCCGTTGAGGTGGCAGCGCCCAAAACGGGCCCCGCTCATCGGCAGCAGCTGCTCTCCAGGAGCGAGCGTTGGACCGCGGCGGCGCGCGTCCCCCGGCGCGGCCGTCGGGCGGGGCCTGCCCGCAGCTTGGAGACGGCCCGGACGATCTGCCCCACGGCTACGCCGTCCAGCTCGAGGTCCGAGGCCTCGGGCGGAGGGAGGGAGGGGGGGGAGGGGGAAATTACGCTCGGTCTCTGGCGTCGTCAATGGAAGAAGCACGACAACGCTGTCTCGTCCTGGGACGCCCGCGGATCGATCCGGCTCGAGGAATTCGGCAGACGGACTGGGTCGGGGGCTTCTGTCGTGCGCGGTGCACGACGCCGGTTCTTTCGACGACGTCACCTGTCGGGGTGCGCCGGCGGGTCTTGGCGGCGCGAAGGAGACGGAGGACAGCGAGGAGGAATGCCTCTGCGGGGATTCCGACACGAGGTCGAGGGGACGAGCAGGGGGAGCAGAGCAAAACCGGCGTGCATCAACGATGCTGTAATGCACCCCGCCCTGTCCCAAGTTCTCTCCGAAGCAGGTCCCTATAGGCATTCCTTCCACTGTAAGAAAGGGCCCACTCGAAAAAGGAACACCCCACGGGCTTGCCGCTCGACCGGGCGCCGGTTTGAAAAAGGAGTCACTTTCATCCATTGGGCTATAGGCTATAAGGAAATGCCGAGACGTATAAGCATAGAGTTCAAGAGCTGTCTGCTCTTTCGATCTTTCCAGCGCAGTAATCATCGGTAGCTCGTCGTAGGAGCAGGACACGCTTGCAGAGTTCCTCTTGGAGGCGGCAACGAAATGTTTGTACCCTAAGTCGTGGTGTCAGAAGTGAATCCCACCAGCCCCTTAGGCCGTAAGATGGTTTAGGGAGCTTCCTCTTCCACCCCTCCCTCTTCCCCTTCGGGGAGAGGTTTCTCACTTTTCCCTATGAAATATACACCCCCTCCCCCAGGCGACTGGGAGCCAACCAGGGTCAATGCGGGCACCCACCACCACCCCTTTTTTTTAAACAAAAAAATCTGCCTCCAAATTCGGAGCATGCGCAGCGAACCCGATGCGGCCTCCCCCCACCATCCCTGTCAAAAAGCCATACAGAGTACACTTGGAGGCAGCGGCGGCTGCGGCGGCTGCGATGGGGGCAGCGGCTGCGGCGGCTGCGGCGGTGGCGGCGGCGGTGGCGGCGGCGGCGGCGGGGGCGGAGGCGGCGGCGGCGGCGGCGGCGGCGGTCGCGGCGGCGGCGGCGGCAGCGGTGGCGGCAGCGGCTGCCGCGGCAGCGGCTGCGGCGGCGGCGATTCGACAGCGGGCGCGGCGGCGGCGGCGGCGGAGGCGGCGGCGGCGGGCGGCGCGGCGGCGGCGGCGGCGGACAGCGGCGGCGGCGGCGGCGGCGCGGCGGCGTCGGCGGGCGGCGGCGGCGGCGGCGGCGGAGGCGGCGGCGGCGGATTCGCCCCCAGAAGCTGCCCATCCAAAGTCGACTGCTGAATATGCTGCGGCTCGGGCCAGGCTCGGGTGCTACGTATGTGTTGGGAGGACGGGTGGGAGTGAGCGATACGGCTTGCGGGCGGGGAGGGAGTCTTGACCCCTCCCCCTACCCCCTCCCCTAGAACTGGACGGGGGGTTCCGCGGGTAGTTGGAGTGTCCAAAATTGCCTCGGCGAGGAAGTCAAAATCACTGTTTTTACTAAGGTTGTGGCCCCATTTTGGCCTCCTAGGGGGCGAGGCTAATTAAGAAACCCCCCTTCTTTGATCGATCTCCGCCGAGATGACCCCAAGAGCGCTCGCAAGGCCCCCAAGGGTGCCCCAAGAGGGCCCCAAGAGGTGGCCAGAATACCCAAAGAGGCCCCCAGGAGGCCCCCAGGAGGCCCCCAAGAGGCTCCCAAGAAACCCCCAAGAGGCCCCAAGAGGCCCCCCAGAGGCACCCAAGACGGTCCAAAAGGCCCCAGCGAGAATGCCAAAATCATTGTTTGTACTAAGGTTTTGGCTACACTTTGGCCTCCTGGGGGGCGGCACTGATTAAGATGAATCCAAGGGCGCCTGGGATAGCCCAGGATGACCTCCAAGATGGCTCAAGATATCCCAAGATGCCTCAAGATGGCTCCCACGAAGCTCCAAGAGGCTGCAAGACCGCTCCAAGACGGCTCCAAGTGGCCAAAGTGCTCCCAGGAGGCCCCGAAGAGGCAAAAATTCTTCCAGAATGTTAAGGGAATCCATATATTTGGCTGTCTCGCCTTTTCGATTCCGATGGCCATCCGAGGCCTCAAGATGGCTCCAAGATGGCCCAATAGGGCTCCAGAAAGGCTCAAGAGAGCCCCCCAAGACGGCCCCAAGAGCACCCCAAAGCGCTGCAAGAGCGCCGCAAGAGGCGACGTTTTGGGCTCCCGATGAGCAACGCTAATGGATGTTCCCCTCTTGTTTGATCGATGTCCTCCAAGATGGCCTCAAGAACGCTCCCAGGACTCCCAAGAGCACTTCAAGAGGGCCCCAAGAGGCGCCCAGGAGGCCCAAGGAGGCCCCAACAGGCGCCCAAGAGGCCTCCAAGAGGCTCCCAAGACACTCCCAAGAGGCCCCAAGAAGCTCTCCGAGACACCCAAGACGCTCTAAGAGGCGTCCGAGACCGCCAAGAGGCAACTACTACTACTACTACTGCTGCTGCTACTACTACTACTACTACTACTACTACTACTACTACTGCTGCTGCTGCTGCTGCTGCTGCTGCTGCTGCTGCTACTACTACTACTACTACTACTACTAACTACTACTACTACTAATACTACTACTACTACCTCTTCTACTACTACTACTACTACTACTACTACTACTACTACTACTACCATACTACTACTACTACTACTACTACTACTACTACTACTACTACTACTACTACTACTACTACTACTA